ACAATTACAAAAGCCGCAACACAATTACAAAAGCCGCAACACAAATACAATTGAATTGAATATGTTTTAAATATGTTTTATTTGCAGATTAGGACTCAATATCCATATAGGTCCCAACATTCAAAAGTTGTGATTTGACTTTTCAAGTATTTCAGTAAATATTCGAGTTTATGATAACAGCATTTTCACTGATGGATGTTCCGTTTTATGTAGTTTTAAGCCTTTTGTTTTATGAAGTAAACATTGTGGAGCTTGTTTTATAAACAAAAAAGTAGCTTTGATAAGTTTGATCTTTTATGGCTTTCTTTGCAGTCTTTCTGAGGGTTTTAATTTGTTTATATCGATTTCATAAATTATATTGTATCGCCGGGAAAAAAAAAATGATACCACAATAAGGTTTGATATATCATCCAGCCCCAGTCAAGCTATTAAAAACTACAAGAACTGAAAGAGGGTTTTCTTTCAGCTCCCAAAAGGTCTCAACCTTTTTTTTTCGTACCTTTTCCTTCAGGCAGAAGTTGTATCAGCTCATATCTGGAGGCCTGTTTGGGGTCCTGGTTGTGTTTCTCCAACGCAACGCTGATCACAGCGGGGGTCTTGTCATTGCTTGTCACCTGAGAAGGTTGGAAAAAAAAGAGCAACTGTGAGATCAGAAGAGCTTTGCACTAATGATACAGCAGCTCTGCTGAGGATCTGATCTAATGACTATCATTACAGGGAAAGCTTTAAGTGCAGCTTTGAGATAAATCAGCCTCTGCCACCGTACTGCTGACATGTAATAAAGGTTCAATGTTTTTGATTTTCACCATTATGCTTCGATACAGGTTTCCATCCTGCAGGTCCATCCGGATCCGGATGATCTGCATGTCGGGCCCCGACCCTGGAACGTTATTGGGGAGGTTGTTGCCGCAGGAGGCTGATCTGCGGTGGGATTTCGTGGGACTGGATGGAGTCAGCGCGACGGGGGTGGACTCATTGGTTGGAGGGGAAGTGTCGACATCCAGACAGGACACCGACGGAGATCTCATGTGCTGCAGGCATAAATAACTGTAATCTCAGTAATGGTAAGGGGACATTTTTCAAAATAAAAATGTGAAGAAAACAGTCAGCTCTGAATGAAGTATCTGTGAAATGAGCTCATATAAATGCAAACTTGACCTTTTGGAATAATAAGCTTTGGAGTGTTACCTTTGTGAGTTTAGAGAGAAAGTTATTCACTGGAGAATGGAAGTAAAAGAGGCTGTCGCCATCACCAGCCAGGCTGGTTCGGGAGGTACTCAGGCTGTGAACAAGGACAAACACAGAGAGGTGGAAAACATTACGTTAATTAGAAAATACATGTAGTTTATTAAAAGTAATCTGAAATACATACAAGTAAAATCAGATTTAATCAGATTTGAGAAGAAGCTAATTCTAGCAGCTTGTTTGTAAAGGTTTAGCCCCTGTCACACCTTGCTGATTTAGCCAGCCTATGCCTGACATCCCAGGATCTTCTGAAACGCTGGCATACGCTGAACTTTCTATGTATTTTTTCAATTTTGGGCGTATACATGGAGTATTCATAACGAGTCCAGAACGCATGTCCAGCTATATATATGTGTATATACATATATA